TTTATAACCCAACTGTGCCCCTCAAAAAACCCTACATGGATGAAGTTGAAAGTGAAGAGGATGGAGGTGTGCGGCACAATAGCCACATTCTATGAATCTTTAGTCATTATCATTTAAAAAAAAAGTGACGGGTAAAAATTGATCATGACGGATTTTTTTTTTTACCGTCAGTCAAAATGTCTGACGGCAAAGAAGTCTAGTACAACCTCTTGTAGGTAGGTAGGTAGGTCGGTCGGTAGGTACAGTAAGTAGGTAGGTAGGTACTTACTTACTTACTTACTTACTTACTTTCCCCATGCGGGACAATAAAGGCTGATTCTATTATATTTCTATCACACCCACATATAAGTTCACTTAATCTACAATTTAGGGGTCCACTAATTAGCTAGGATTCTATTTTATGTCCTATGTGCACATTATTTTTAATTACTTTGAAATAGGTAAACTAGAACTATTTACTAATAAGGTCAAATTCAGCTACACTATAGCTGCACCCCCAAGCTCCCTGGCAGTAAACACCTCTGTACCTACCATAATTCAAAACACACCAGCAAGTCCACCTCTGAATGGCTGCAGAAAAACAAAAGGAAGACTTTGGAGTGGCCTAGTCAAAGTCCTGACCTGAATCCTATTGAGATGCTGTGGCATAAAAAGGCTGTTCATGCTCGAAAACCCTCCAATGTGGCTGAATTACAAAAATTCTGCAAAGATGAGTGGGCCAAAATTCCTCCACAATGCTGTAAAAGACTCATTGCAAGTTATCGCAAATGCTTGGTTGCAGTTGTTGCTGCTAAGGGTGGCCCAACCAGTTATTAGGTTTAGGGGGCAATCACTTTTTCACACAGGGTCATGTAGGTTTGAATTTTTTCCCCCCTTAACAATAAACACCTTTATTTAAAAACAGCATTTTGTGTTTACCTGTGTTGTCTTTGACTAATATTTGAATTGCTTTGATGTTCCGAAACATTTAAGTGTGACAAACGTGCAAGAAATCAGGAAGGGGGCAAACACTTTTTCACACAACTGTATGTTCCGTTTTAGGATGGTTGTATAAAAAGAAGAAACTCTCTTTGCCCTTATGATGACCAACATCACTGTCATAAAAAACACAAAAAGATGTAGCCTAATCAGTACTTTTTAAAATAAAACTCTATTTTAGGGAAAAGTTTTATTTCTGAACACATTTAATGATTAAAACACCTGAACACAAATAAGATATACATTACTTACATAGTTTATAGTTAATAAATAACTATAAAGAATTTGATAATGAATATCCATAAATATTTAGAGAAGAGATATAAAAGTCTTTATATAAATATAAATAAGTTATTCATTAAACAAGGACAGTAAAGAGGCTTTGCTGCATCACATGTTGATGCCTTTGGGCGAAGAAGCAAAGCTGCTGCTGATTTACTCAACAGGCAATTCACAGCAGACTAATAATCTAAGAACCGCCCACAATATTAACATAAAACCAGAACCAACACATTAGAAGCAAATAAGAACCATGTTTTTTTGAAAAAGCAGAAAACATCACCTTAAACACTGAAAACTACAATCAAACACCTGATAAGAACATGTTCCATATCATCTCAGTTGTTCTGTTCATTTGTAGGGATGGGAGCGGTGCAGGTGTTTGGTCTTTGCTCTTTTTGAAAGTCCTACCCGGATTGGACGGGTGCAGGTCTTCAAAGGCTCTAGTCTTCTATGCTGCTCTGGTGGTCCTGTGCAGACAGCATCACGTTAGCATTAAATTAGCTGTTCAGAACTTTTTACCTAAAAGTGTCCTGATGCATCTCAGTAATCCAGGTAGAAAAAATCAAAAAGAAAAAATAAGTAGGTCCTCTGGATGGGTTC